AGTTACAGTTGCTGCTCCAGTTAGCAAGTTGACATTGCACATTGTATTTGTGGTACAGGTGAATGATGAAGTAGAAGGGTGACGAACTGCACTCATTTTTAAACTTGGACTTAATGCATCAGATCCAAAAAGCTGTTCCCAATTTCTCCTTCCTGGTGCTTTTTAAGGCTATGTGGTCATTATTTGCACAGGAAGCATCTCACAGTGAGTGACAAACTCTGTCCTTTCTTACAGAGTAACGCTCCATGAAAAGGAAAATCTCATGAGTGCAGAGAACCTGGGCATCGTCTTTGGACCAACTCTTATGAGAGCGCCAGAACTGGATGCGATGGCTGCATTGAATGACATCCGTTATCAGAGACTTGTGGTGGAGATGCTTATAAAAAATGAAGACATTTTATTTTGAATATTTTGGGGGTTTTGTAATAAAAAAAAAAAAAGGAAGCAACAGTGTTCTATGGATGAAGGAATATTTTAAAGTAATTTACTGGCTCTTGTCGCTGAATTCCATATTTGCTAGAGCTTTTGATGTATTCAGGATAAAAATGAAGGAACTCTTTGTCATTTCTGTAGTGCCATTCAGCTGATGTTGAAAAAGGTTAACACATACTTTCCAGTACTAGTAATCCTGGGTGTTTATCATGTGAAAATAAAAAACGAGACGCCTACAGCTATTGCATGATCTGCTCCCTGTTCTCCCTGCTCTGGTGAGAATCATTCCATGAAGAAAACAGCGGACCTGGTGCGGCATCTTTGTTCTGGATAGTTTGTGGTTGTAATTCAGCATGTTTCTCAGTGTAAACCTGTTGTGAATTTGCTTTTATGTTCTATGTAATTGGTTTCTGATACTAAAAAGAAGGCCGACTTATGTGAAATGGAACCTCTGGCAGTTTATTGGCATTTCATATCGTTCTCTGCCACTGTTTTGGCTGATTTCTTCTTGGGTTTCTTTCAGGTTTTTTTCATCATACAGTAATTTGTTTTTAACAGAAACAAAATGTGTACTTTTTTAAGTAATCCTCCATGATGTTTATGGTGGTTGCAGTGAAATCTGCAATGCTGAGCAGTGTTCCTTTATTATTATTGCGATTTCAATTGTAATTTTGTATTTTTATCTGGCATGCATATATTAATTTATTAAATTTTGCCTTTAGAACTCTAATGTCAAGTATTTTCTTTGTACTTTGTGGGCATGTTTCAGAAATACTGTTTGTTTCATTCTTATCAATTATTCCTCCAAACAGCCTCTGAATTCAAAGCAGCAGGACAGAGCATTGCTGTTTCTGATGAGATCACTGCTCTAAATGCTTTGGAGCCTGGTGCTTTGCTAAGGTTCCCATGCGGTTCTCTTTATATTTTATTTGAAAATTTCTGTCTGCATTGGCTAGGATACTTCTCAGGAACACTTTAAAGTTCTTAAATAAACCAAGTGCCATCGAGTCATCTCCCACTTTATAGATTACATACACTGCTGTAATGGCCTGTACACAAATCAGCATTGTGGTTTGCCACTCTATACAGTTGTAGATGCCCTGACTAGACGTATACACCACTGAAGGTTGAATGCAAATACATCCCACAGCATGTGCTTCGCATTGAAGGTGCTGTGAAATGGCAGCTCCCAGGAAAATGGCAGAAGTCCCCGCTTGAAGGGCTGGCAGTAAAAGGGCAGGAGGAGGAAGAGATTAGTGTTTGGGGTACGTAGACAGGGACCCATGGGGAAGAAAGACATAATGAGATGCTAAAGCTAGGGTGCTTTGCTTGGGCACCTTCTATGCTACCTGCTCCAAATGAGAGCAGCCAGGTGAGGCTACTTGGAACTTCACCCAGCCCTCCCCTCAGGCAGCTAGGAGGAGGAGGAAGGAGTGCCTTAGGATTGCAACCAGCTGCTCTCTTCTGTGAGCAGTCAGGTGCCTCCCTGCATCACATACTTCCCTCCTGTGCCCAGGCAGAAAGGGAGGGGAGGGTAGGAAGCAGCTCTCCTGGAAGGAGGAAGATGGAGCTGGTGTGCACACAGATAAGTGCATAGGGTGTGCTGGTGGAGAGGTTTGACAGAGGCTCCTGCAGCGTTCTCTGTAGCTGGTGAGTTGAGCTGGGGGTTCCCACTGCTGTAGGATGTGCCTACAGCTAATACCCATGTGGCCATGTTGGAGCTGCCCCAGTGGCACTGAGCGAGGCAGAGAGTGCAGCAGTGAGCAGAGGGAGACCGTCCTGGGCCTTCTGATGGGGAAGGGGAAGCAGCGGTCAGGGGAGCTGAGTGGTGTCTGGGGGAAAGCAAATCTTTAAGATAAAGCAAAATAAAGTTAATTCTTATAGAGTGATTGAGGCAGGGAATTACTGTCTTAAAAAAATTAAATGCTGGAATTGTTGGGGGAGCACGTATTTAGGACAGTGCGTGGGGTGTGGCTGGGAACACTGGTGAAAAATCTTCTGTTGATTGAAGATCTGTCTGCACTGAGTTTGTTTGTGCCTGTGGCATTGAGATAGAAGCTTGTCTTTGCCACATTACCTGGCAGAATGGAAAACATACTGCATATGGGTTTGTGCTATACCAAGCTTCTGCCTCCTGCAATGCTAAGAGGGAAGTAAAGGCTCCTACAAAGCAGCTCTGGTGTACTTGCTCTGTTCTCAGCCTGGTTTTCCCTGCAATGGGCATTCTGTAGTGTTTGTATTATAGTTACAATTACACTGTAACAAGGGGAAAAAAAAAACATTAAGTGAACCTAGCAATCGTGATTTGCTTTTTTAGTCATGTAAAATTACTGCTTAGCAACTGCAGATCAGACCTGGAAAGCTTATGTAACGTATGAGAATGGAGGTTTAGGAAACACGTTGTGGGTAAAAATGATTGCTGAGCAAGCCATGTGAGGAAAGAGCTCCTCATAGTCCGCCCTGTGCTGAGAGCAGCGGTGAATGGCCATGAAGTGCCAGCAAGGGTCATGGGCAGCCAGGCAGGGATGTGCTGGCAGCACCTCCTGCAGGGACATCAGGCTCCTGGCTGCTCTAGCTGGGGCCAGGAGTGCTGGTACCCGCTGCAGAGCCCTGGTGCTGACAGCATCCTTGTGCTGGCCTGGTCTGCTCCCTGCACAGTGCTCCTTGTGCCATCTTCTGTGCTTCAGTTTGACTGCAGGATCCATGAGCTGCCCTAATTCCTATTGCTGGCTCTGCGGTCAGAGTGTCGTTTGTTCTTATCGGAGCTCTTCCAAGTGTGATGTCAATAAGCTGCTCGAGGAGTTTAAGAGCTTTTGGTTGGTATCCTTTCCTATTCCTCCTGTAAGTGTTGTGTCTCAAGGACGCATGCAGCTCCTTGTCTTGCCCGGGTCTGTATTGCTCCGCCTCGGTGGATTGTGGAAAATGATTCTTGGGCTTCTGGGACCCTTTGATTAATGTATTTCCTGAGGCAATTAGGTATGCTTGAAAAAAAAAGCTTGGCAGGCAACCAGGATTCATTTCCAAGCACTGTGTTATCTATGATTTTTTTTTTCTTCCTTGCTACGAATTTTACAATTTGAATGTAGAGCTTTTTCCTCTTTTTCCATGCTTTACTGCTAACTGCGTTAATAATGCAAACAGAATTGCCCAACTATTAACGTGATGCATTTTTTGGATGAATATTCATTTGGTGGCGTACCACAAGGCCTGCTGGAAGGATTGCTTGCTGAATCCAGGCCTTACCACAGCCGGGGGAAGCAGCCGTGGGCCTGCAGGGTGCTGGGGCCTCATGCTCTCCTTCTGGTGGGAGGGAAACCCCGCACACAGTCCTTCATTCCATCTGCAGTGCTGGCAGTGGATCTGGCCTTGCTCCTAAGCTGTCATGTTGGTTTACTAATAGCATTAATTAAGAACAAAGCTGTTCTGCTGTGACACCTGCACCTGAGTCTCCTTCAGTCCTGGGCAACTTTAACAGGCAGCCTCGGCCCGGCTGAGCGCAGCCTGCTGCGGTTTGCTGGAAGGGCAGCAGGCGGCCCTGCAGGGCGCTCCTCTCAGTGAACACAGCGTGGGCTGGTGGGCTCTGTAGGTGCTGCAGGCATTGCCCAGGCTTTGTGTGGGTGGGTGAGAACACAGGCTGTGGCCTTTAGAACACAATGCTCCGTGACACCTCTGCATAGATGCGGCTGTGGTCTGCCAAGGAGATGAACTTCATAATGGGGCTAATTTGAGAAATAGCTGTTGTTTGGACTTGGTTCAGCTGGAGCTCTTTATTTCAATTCCAGTTTCTCCTGTGCTGCATTTGCTCCTGCGTCGCTTATAGAATCACATAATCATGATGGTTGGAAAAGACCACTGAGATCATCTAGTCCAACCACCAGTACACCCCACCGTGCCCACTAACCTGTGTTCCCGAGTGCCACCTCACAGCCTGTGCAGCCGGGCACTCAGTTCCACCTGGACGCACTGCTGGGCCACAGAGCCGTGCTGGCTGCGGCTGTATTCCAGCACCTCACTGTTGTTATTCTAATGCTTTAGTTGTGGCCTTGAGAGTATTTCTTCAATTGAGGGCATGGTGTCGGTTTTTCTGCTTCCTCAGTTACAAACATGATCTTGTAAGCTCGCTGTTGGCCAGTGCAGCAGACAAACGTGTCAGAGAGCTTCCAGCCTGCAAGGGGGCAAAATCAACCTAGAGCGTGGCAGGTGAGAGGTGCACAACAGGGACTGCAGGAAGTCAGCATTTTCCATTAATTACCAAGAAAACACGGTACATGCACTGGCAGAGCTTGCAAGGCGAGTGATAGAAGTGCACGTTCTGGCGTGCAGTCAGCAGCTGCTGGGGCACACTGACAGGGCAGTGGGGCTGCGGGACTGAGCTGAGCTCACCAGGGCCTCTGGGCAGTCAGCAGTGCTTCCTGAGGTGAGATGGATGCTTTGCAGAGCGCTGCTGTGTGTGCACTGCCACTCTGTAGTTTCAGAACTAGAAGAAAAATAAACTTGCCTCTGTGTGTTTGCTCAGTTAATGCTGGCCATGAAAGACTCGCTGCCATGCTATGTGCTGTGGGGCTCCCATGGGGTCTTGGAGGCATTTGCGAGTGGCAGATCTTATCCTGGCTGCATGGGGAGTGTCTGTGGGGCATGCCAGTGGTGACAGTGTGCAAAGGCTGTACCAATGGTCTCCTCATCAGCCAGCACTCCGGAGACGTCGTGTCCTAACAGAACCGAGGGAATGTGACTATTCCTTCTGGACTGAGTAGGTGAAGGTAACCAATGAAACACACCGCCCACACCACCAGCTCCCCTTACTCTCAGCTGTGTGGTGGGGCTTCCCCAAAACATCTGAAGGAAAACTCTGAAGTCCAGCACATGGCCAAAACATGACGCCCCTCACAGGAGCTGAGCAAGCCGCTTGCTTTGTGTAGAGCTGGAAGTAACAGTCTGCTCTGCAGTTACTCCAGCAGAGAGCCAAACCTTTTTTTAAAATTGTGTATTCAGACCTGTAAGTGTGAACACCTGGAGATGTCCCTCAGGGTAAGTGCTGCCTGCGGTCCCACTTGGGAAAACTGCTGTATGATGTGGGATGCCGGTAAGGTGATACCAGAAGCCAGGCCACTGGTGCTGATGGCATTTACAGGAGGTGATCGGTATTCTTTGGATTAACCTCAGCCTCACATCCCCCATGCAGCCTGCAGGCCTGTGGCCAGCGCATTGCTGGCAGTGCTGCCATGCCTGCAGCAGCTGCACATTGCCCTCCGCAATGGGATCAGGGACAATGGGAGCCGCTGGTGGAGCGCGAGGCTGAAGCCATGGAGAGGTTTGATGTGAGGGTAAAATGTAAGCATGGAGGCTGGGTGTTGGTTAGTGGGAGGGAGTGTGAGAGGGGGAGGAATTTAAGAACAAAATACACATAAAAAATAAAATTAAGGCATCCATCATGGAGCAGCTGGCAGGCAGTACAGAGGACAGCCCTGAGAAATACAAATACAGCTGGTGTCACCCAGAGGCGAAGCTGGGAAAGCTTTATGTGGGATTGCTTTCTGGAAAGGGATGTTCAGGTCACTGTGTGTGGTGGGTATAGCTAGGCAGCAGCCCGTCTCCAGAGAAGGTATGAGGGAAGTGCAGAAGGATGGGCTGTGCAGTGCTCCTCAGGACACAATTGCAGCCCCCGCAGCTCGTGGCTATGGGGTTTTTGTGGCAGAGCTCGGTGATGTATGTAACAGAATGAGACTCATTCACCCAACCGCTTTCTGCCCTTCTCCATTCTATTTTACAGATGCCACCAAAGCCCTTTCTCTCTCTGGCTTCTCCTCTAGGTTTAAGGGCTGTACTCGCACCTCACATGGTCTTTGTTGTTTTCTCCTGTGTCTTTTCCGTGCCGCCCTTTGACCAGAACTATGAGGAGCACTCAGGCATCATGGATTTGTGCACCTGCCCTGCCATGGAGGACAGTCTCATTTCCCTACCCTTTGCCTTTGCACAGCTCCGTAAGTCCAGAGGCATCTATGACAAAGTTCTCCCTTTCACTGCAGTTATTTAGGTTAGCTTGCAGCTCAGCTCTCAAGGCAGGCTCTTTACCCTGTGCCTCATAATCACCCCAGGAGATTCTAGGTGATGGATATCTCTTGAATGTATTTATTCACTGCTCCAGAATTTCACCCATGGAGCAGAGGGAACAGCATCCCAAAGCCCGCACACAGCCGGTATGTGGTCAGGGTGCAGCAGAAACAGCAGCTGATCTGTTTGCCCTGGGAAAAAGGGAAAAATCCCAAATTGGGCAAGCTGCTCTGGTCACAGAGTGATGTGTATAGCCTTGTTCCCAGCTAGGGATGTCTGTTGTGTGGGGTTTTTTTTAACCACAACTCTCAGTGCCGCTCAGAAAAAAATGGCTTTTGGTGACCATTAGGAGCCATCTGAGCAGTGCAATGCATTGTGCTCCCATTCCATAGCCGGTGCGGCGGCCCTCAGCTGTCATGCCTGGAACAGGTGGTGTAAGGCAATCCCTGGGCAGTCGTGCTCCCCGCCCCCCAGGCCGACCTTAAAGGCGCTGTGTGCGCCCCGGCACAGCGGTGCTGAGAGGAGCAGGCTCAGGTGATGGAGCTCTGCCTTGTGCTGCTCCTGATCTTCTCCGCAGGTAAGCGGCGCATTTGGGCAACTACCTTGGGCTGGCTCCTCCCTGCGGGTGTGGGACTAGGGTTTTGCATGGGTGTTAGTGTAAAGGTGTGATCTGGGAGCAGCTACAATATTCCTAATTTCAGTCACCAAATACTTTGCAGTGAGGAGTTTGTTTTCATCTTTGTCTGCCATCTTTGTGCCATGCTCCCATTTACGCTTGTTCAAAATTTATTTCAAGACGTGTGAGAGGCTCTAGCAAATGTGGCTTGACATGCAAAATTTCATCAGCTGTGGGACAAGGACACACATTTGTTTTGCAGCTGGTTGTGTTGTACCAGGATGATTCTCTGTAAATTGTTCTTTAGAAGAACAATGACTTTGTGATGCTAGACCCTTTTCACTAAATCCCAGAAGAGAACTGAACTCCTGCCCAGCCATCAGAAGACAGCAGGGTGAGGGGCTTCGGTTGGGCTAATGAAGCATAGCACAAAACCTGGCCTGGCTGCCACGCTGTTCTCACAGCATGGGGAGGGAAGCATGAATTACAATGGGGCTGTGCAGAGAGCAGGATCTGGCTGGCCGTAGGTCTGCCTGTGGGCAGCATGTCCCTGCGACAGCCCCGTGGTGCATCCCATCCCTCCCACTGATGCCATTTTGTTGCACACAGCCGGGCCGGCCCTGTGCTATGAGCACGAGACGCGCCTGGTCGACGACCTGTTCCGGGACTACAACAAGGTGGTGCGCCCTGTGGAGAATCACCGCGATGTTGTCGTCGTCACTGTGGGGCTGCAGCTCATTCAGCTCATCAATGTGGTAGGCAGTGGGCAGGCAGAGCCTGCTATCACACGTGCTATCACCAAATGGCGTCGCTCTCCTCCTTTAATCCCAATGCTTTTGGGATGTGTCTCCTTTCTCTTTGTTTTTTTTTCCTTTCAAGGATGAAGTAAATCAGATTGTAACAACCAACGTACGCCTGAAGCAGGTAACCCTAAATATTGCTACCCATTCCTTCCCACTCAAATAAATAGGGACAACCAGGTGTGAGCTACTTTTGGGGCACCCTGGACCAGTTGGATTGAGTGTCTTAAACTGATATTTAATATTGTGTGAGACCAAAAATGAGCTGGCGGGCCAAATAGGATGTGTTGACACTTTCCTGCCCAAAGTAAGGAGGCAAGTGTCCCTAGGAAGTGTCAAGTAGCGCTGGAGGAAGTTCTCAGCAGCTGCAATCCTCCCTTTACAGCAATGGACAGACATCAACCTGAAGTGGAACCCAGATGACTATGGTGGCGTGAAACAAATCCGCATCCCATCAGATGACATCTGGCGCCCGGATCTTGTCCTTTACAACAAGTAAGCAGCAGGGAGCAGAGCAGGGAGCAGCCTGGGCAGCGGCTGCTTTGCCCGCTCAGCCTGGCTGCCCTCAGGCCACTGGGCAGCTGCAACCATCCTTCTTCCTTCCGCAGTGCGGATGGTGATTTTGCCATTGTTAAATACACCAAGGTCCTTCTGGAACATACAGGAAAGATCACCTGGACACCTCCTGCTATCTTTAAAAGTTACTGTGAAATTATAGTCACATACTTCCCATTCGATCAGCAGAACTGTAGTATGAAGCTGGGAACGTGGACATATGATGGTACAATGGTGGTTATCAACCCGGTAAGCAATAGTTTGGTAATTGGGAAAAGCAGCAGAGACTTGGGTATATTTTTAAGGGCTTCTCTGGTTTGAAAGGGAATATAATTTTGGTTTGACTGAAAAACAAGATACTACCAGTATAATGTAAAATCTCCATTTGAAAGTGTCGTACAAAATTTGACTTGTGAAATTCTGTATACACTTACTTCCCATGCTCCTGCTTCCCCAAACCTTTTGCCTGCCTATCCTCTTTACAGCCTCATGCCACTATTTCTGGTGCTTTTGTTTTCCTTGTTGTGTGGGGGTGATTTTTCTCTGCTCATGACTTTTCTTACTTTCTGCCTCCTCAGGTATGTCTCCTATCTGTAAATATTTAAGTGGTCTTTCTCGTTAGCAGACTATTCCTAACTCCTTCTGTAAAATATTTAGTTGAACACGGCTCGAAGGATGATGTTGTAAGGCAAAATCACTTAAGAATGGATGTTCGAGTCACAAAAACACACAAAGCACCTGAGTGATTGGAAATTCTGTTCCTCAGAGACCACACCATGTGAGTTTGTTCAGAATGTCTAGTAGGAATAATGTGTCGGTCTGTGGTTTTGTGGGTTTATTTGCTGTCAGGAGAGCGATCGCCCTGATCTGAGTAACTTCATGGAGAGTGGTGAGTGGGTGATGAAGGACTACCGTGGCTGGAAGCACTGGGTTTACTATGCCTGCTGCCCCGACACTCCCTACCTGGACATCACGTACCATTTCCTCATGCAGCGCCTGCCGCTCTACTTCATCGTCAACGTCATCATCCCCTGCCTGCTCTTCTCCTTTTTGACTGGGTTTGTTTTTTACCTACCCACAGATTCAGGTATGTGAGTTTAGTCATCCTACTGCCATAGAAATTGCTCTTCTAACAAGTTCTGGAGAAATTCAGAGTGCTTGAAGTCAGCGGCCAACTCGAAGGGCTGCGTGTGTTAAAGTGGTGCTTCAGCTCAAAACAACAGCTCTAAATATTCTGCAAATTAAACTGAAACTATTCATATAGTTCTATAGAAACTACTCATATGGACAAATTGGGTGGATTTCCCATGGAAAACACTGGTTAACTATCCAGTTAACTTCTGCAAAGCAAAGATTTGGCTAGCTGATGTTCTGATTTTGTCCCTCAGCCCAAAATGTTCATATGTCAAACAGTACCTGAGCACACTGTGTTGGAGCAGAGACCTTGTGGTTAGCATATACTTGCGGGCTCACTGACACAGAGTAATTCTGGCCTCCTCTGGCCTGCTTCATCTCTGCTGAGCAGCTCTGTTGTAGAAAGTTTGTGCTCCCTGCAACCGTTTTCCATGCTTTATTCATTTTACATTGGCATCAGCTTTTCACCCTGCTTAATTGTATTGAATCTCTTCTGTGGAAGACCTCTGATTCACAGCTTTTTGGTGGAGAACTTTACGTGAAGTTGAAGCAGATAGGGAAAAAAAAAACCTCTGCCTAGTGGTTCAGTTCTGATGCCCTACCTACTGAAAGCTGATCCCTGGTGCCAGATGCACATTTTGTCAGCTCACGCTGTGCTGAGGCAGCCAGCCCCAAGAGGCTACAGAGTCATTAACCAGGTGCATGCACCTCATCAATCAAATCCCACAGTCCACGGGGTGCTCCTGGCAAAGAAGCTTTCTGCACACACCACCTGTACGTCAGTCCAGTCATACCTGGTGATTTCTACCCCAGTGCAGGTGTTGGTGGTGTGTGAGGTGCTCAGGTCTGGCCAGATTCAGTACTGTTTTGGGAGCTAGTGAAATAGGAGCACTCTGGATTCATGAAAACGTATGTGTGTGAATAGCCATCATCCACATGCAAGCTTCTCAAACTGACTAAGCACTGAATGATATCGACATACCCAGTGGTATTGTCTTCTTTTTGCATTGCAGGTGAGAAAATGACCCTCAGCATCTCTGTCTTGCTGTCATTGACTGTGTTCCTGCTGGTCATCGTGGAGCTGATTCCCTCTACCTCCAGTGCAGTGCCTCTGATAGGCAAATACATGTTGTTTACCATGGTGTTTGTCATTGCTTCCATCATTATCACTGTCATCGTCATCAACACCCACCACCGCTCTCCCAGCACTCACACCATGCCACACTGGGTCAGGAAGGTGAGCTCCAGGGCTTTGAGTTTCCTCTTTTCCACAGAGTAGCATGTGTTTTGTTGGCGGATTTTCTCCTAAAGGTCAGCAAGAATTGAAGAATCATAGAATTCTATCATAGAATGGCTTAGGTTGGATGGGACTTTAAGGATCATCGAGCTCCAATCCCCTGCCATGGGCAGGGCTGCCACTCACCAGATCAGGCTGCCCAGGGCCTCAGCCAACACAGGGAACACGGGGATTGTGGGACATCCACAGCCTGGCTGCTCCTTTACGTGACAAAACTGCCCACTGGATAGAGCCCTGCAGGGGAATGGATGTGGCAAAACAGGGGCAGCAGACGGTATAGGGAGAGGGAAGCAGGTCAGTTGGGCTAAAGTGATCTTACTGGTCTAATCATTTGTGACTGCAGGACACTTCTGCCTGCCAGGGGACAGGCCCTTTAGGTCATGCAAATTGCATTGTAATAGCAAAGTCAAGCACAAGTAGCCAAGAGACACCCCCCCAAAGTGCATTCCCCAAACCCCTAGGGTGTGTGTCCCAAGCTGGATGGGGTCATTCAGCTGGCAGCAGTGTGAACCTGACCAGTGGTGGTACAGCCCTCATATGTATGTATAGGATACACGGATAGGCAGAGCTGCTTTTGGAGAGCACATGGCAGGCCATGGGGTGACCCTGTCTGCCCCCCAGGACATGAGGCAGACAAGAAGCATGGTGTAAATGTGGCATGTGGCATGACATACTCCAAAGTGGAATCTCTAGCGAGTCCAGGAGAGGAAGTTATCTGTGACTGGCGTAGCTCTCTTCTGTTTATTGCAGAGCTGCATCTGCACAGCAGCTCCTCCGAACAGGAGTCTTCCTCTTCTGTCTCTCTTTTTTTTTTTCCTAGATCTTTATTGACACAATCCCAAACATCATGTTTTTCTCTACAATGAAACGACCATCCAGGGATAAACTAGACAAGAAAATTTTTGCAGAAGATATTGATATTTCTGAAATTTCCGGGAAGCAAGGTCCTGTGCCTGTCAATTTCTACTCCCCACTTACCAAAAATCCAGATGTGAAAAATGCTATAGAGGGAATCAAATACATTGCGGAAACGATGAAGGCGGACCAAGAATCCAGTAATGTAAGGCATTCTTTGTGCATGATTCATTTCTTGCTTTCATACTGCTAGATCTTTTTTCTTTTTTTTTTTCCTTCAATTACCCAGGCCTCATAAAACACTCCAAATCTTGTTTTGGCTTTAGCAGGGAACAGTCTCCTGCCTGTGGTGTGGTCATTAAGGAGTAACAGATAATTGTTACAGGTGGTAAATGAATCTCAGTTTAAAAAAGAGGAGAGAGAGAAAAGTGGTTTTCTTAACAGGGTGTGTGAAGCCACAGAGATGGTGCATGAGTAGCAAAGCAGTTTCCAGAACTGTAAGCAATTCCATAACACATTCCTCCTGTCCCCTGCTTGGGCATCTTCCCACAGGGATAAACGGCCTTCCTTGCTTTTGAAAATGCAGAAGGTAGCACAGCTGCAGAATTCAGATGTAGTTTTATTTGAGAAGCCTGAAGTGTGACTTGCAGATAATAATTCCAGTTTTGATAAGGATTTGTGTCAATCCATGTATGCTACAAGCAGTCCCTGCAAGTGAGACACATCACGAGCTGTTGTGATTACTGACTTTTTCCACATTACAAGTCAAAGGAAGGATAAATGCGTGCAGAGTCACATATGGCAGTTTTCCACAGGAAAGCCTAGCTCTGCCTCCTCCGAGCACGTTCAGTGCAATTAACTCCCTCTTTCATTTCAATTTTTGCAGCTCGCACAGCTTTTAAATGGATAATTCAGGATCAGTTCTTCACCTTTCTTACTGCTGTTTAGCAGCGGATGCCCAGTGGTGACAGCCTGCAGGTGGGGAGGGGCCTCTGTGGGACAATAACCTGGCCTCTCCTTCACCCAGGCAGAATTTACACCACGGTGTTTGTTCCTGTGGCCATGTTCCAGCAGTGTGTGAATGGCTCCGGTCGGAGTCTCATGTTCCCGGTGGCTCCTCTGCAGATCAAGTGCTACCTTCAGCAGGGCTGGCATGGTTTCAGTGCCTCTGGGCTCTGCTTCCTTCTGCGCATACAAGGAGGGTCTTTGGTTACTGGCAAGTGCTCCCATCGGAAGTGGAGCCAGCTGTTTGTGTCATCTAGACTTTACTGATATCGCTTTCAGAGGATTTCAGAAGTTGCATTCCCAAAATAAACCAAAGGCTTCTGAAGGCTGTCACGGCATTGCCTTTGCTTACAAGCCGCCTCAAAGCACTCCCGCTTAGCAGTGTTCTCTAGATGGATTCCAGCAGCTTCTTCCACTTGTGGTGCACCTAAGGCAAAAGGAGAGGGAGATTAGGGACGGGATGTGTTGGTCCTTAGGGCAGAGTTACAGGGTGGAAATGTGCTCTGGCCCAATTACATCCATTACAAATGCAGCTCTCAGAAATCTTACTGTCTCCTTTCTTTCTTCTTCAGGCGGCTGATGAGTGGAAGTTTGTTGCAATGGTGCTCGATCATCTTCTCCTTGTAATATTTATGCTAGTCTGCATTATTGGAACATTAGCTGTATTTGCTGGTCGCCTTATTGAATTAAATCAGCAAGGATGAACATCAAATGGAAACTATTCACTGCCTGGGCTGGGACTGGAAAGCATCTTAACTGCTAAAACCTGGCCAGCCATGGAAGTTCCCCTGGGACCGAGCAGGGATACAAAAATGTGCTTAGCACTTCAGAGCTTCTGCTTGGTGCTGTTTCACTGCCAAAATGACACGCTTGCTCTACTGCTAGACTGAATGGCTGTCAGCCAGATTTGGGTCCATTTTACCATTTATTAGGAATGTTAACATGTTAATAAGACCATCTGACTTTGTTATCCACAAATACGATTCTAGTGACATCAATAGCAGTAATAAGTTCTATCTGAGCTGCAAATCTGTATCCAGCTTTAGAGCAGCTTTCAAGCTGGTTTCAATATCTGCTCTGTGATTTTTGTACTGGCAGTGCCACAAATGCCTCTTGTAACACAGGCTGTAGCCAGCAGAAGTATCTCAAGCTCCTTGGTAAAGCATCTGATTTCTGTGTACAAATCAGTAGTGACTGACTCTCGTGTGTGAGTCAACCTCTTGGTCCAGCCAAGAAGGAATGTTCCTTGTTGTGAAATGGATCCACTGCTGTTTCTTGCTATACAGGCCCAGGGTAAAGGACACATTGAAGATTTTTCACCCTTGTTTATCACTGAGCTCTGCTCTGTGGCCACACAACTGTGCAGACAGAGAGCAAGAATACCTCAGTGTCCCTCTTCACACTGAGTGATGAGCATTGTGAGCACAGTTTCATCTTTGGGGGTGCTCAGTACGATATCTTAACCGCACCTCTGTTCCCTGAAAAGCACCTCCTGCCCTGCTGAAATGCGTTATGAGCAGCAGGCGGGCACAGCACTGCAACGACCGTTCCGATGGAAGTGTGTATGACGAAAGGATCGGACCTCCCCCAACCACATCGGCCGATTCAACCGAGCTTCTTTCAAACGTTGAGCAGCAGCTCACTCTAGTGACAAGAGCCGGTAGTTTCTTTCGTCTAAAAACCTCTGATACTGCAATGGTGGTTTTTTTTTTTTTTTTTTTTTTTTTTTTTTTTTTTTTTTTTCTAGTAAATAAGACTAAAAGTTTTTAGTCAACCCAAGGAACAAGCCTATGTCTGTTTCACTAGTATAGTGTGGAAGTTCGAGTCGTTCTGCCTATTATTCTCAAAAACAGATAAGCACAAGTGAAGCAAATGATACAAATCACCCATCTTTCCAAGCTGGCTCTTCAAGCCAGGACTACTTTGCTATCAATTGCTGTGTGTTTAATAAAATAACATGTTTTATGTTTGTGCTCTACAAGAACGTGTTGTGTCTGCAGAGGTCAGGCATTTAAAATGCTCTGTGGGGGGAAAGCAGGCAGTTGTGTAATATTTCAGTTCGTGCATAGGGCTGCTTGGAAATGTTTTGCTGAGCTGCAGTCCTCACCAAACCCCTTTGTGCAGGTCGGTCAACCACTTGTAGCACTCTGCTCACTTTTAGCACTCTGCTTGACTCTCTGGGTTTTGACGTCGGTAATCTTTGCCTCCCTGGATGATCATTAACCTTGTAAACAACGGCTGGAGATGCATGCCGAGGTAAACCCCTGCTGACAGATAGAGTGCTTGCTGCAGCTCTGCTTAATTTCAGTGAAGCTTCCAGCTCTTGGATGGAGCTATGCAGCTCACCAGCTTGTCAGGAGCTGAGCTGCAGTGCATCAGTGCTTGTGATGCTTATGTTGGGAGATGGTGATTGGCACTGAAGTGGCAGGACAATCCTCTTAGGGGAACCTGTGGTTGAATTTTGGAGTTAAAAACAAACAAGTAACAAGACCTGTGGGTAAGTAGCTGCATTACCTCTGTTAAGTTTCCTTGAGGCGCCCCTCGAGGCCCTCTGGGTCTCAAAATTCTATGTGTGTGTGTGTGTGCTCATCTCTCTAGCTCTGGCTCCCTCCATGCACAATTAGATGCCATGTTGCAGTCATTTCCTCTCGCTTCCTCAGAGAAACTTTAGAAATTACTTATGTGAACATTTTTATTTGTGATAGTTTGTTCTGTCTTACAAGCACAGTAAACCTCCTGCCTTCCTATCACACAGCCTTGATGAACTGGGCATGTCTCAAAGGTGTAGCACTGAGGGGAAACAGCAAACATTTTCTCTTCCTGGGTTGCAGAATCTGTCCCCTGACTCTCTGTGAAGCTGGTCCTCCAAACATCAACAGGGCACCTCAGGGGGAAGTTTACTTGCACCTCTTTTTTTTTTTGCTTCAAATACTCAGATTGTGCAAGCCACCTTTCATTTTTGTTCTGTCTCCCTTTATGATAACATTTCTCTTAGGTATCACTGATAGCCTCTGTTACTAATATCCATCTACTGAAACACCCTGACTCACATCCAGTCTGTCTTATCTGTACTGTCCCTGTACTGTCCTTTTAAAGTGTCAGCATGCCTATGTATCTGTTAGAATAGTACATCTGGAGCTTGTAGGTAGGCTGTCTCAGCCGCTGTCAAAGCTAATTTGCCATTTATGCGTAAATACATGTTGCCTGACAACTTCTCATTTGCAGCACTGTAGCCTCTCCCTGCCCCTGTAGCACTGAGCTATGGATTCTTCCACTCGTGTCTCACCAGAGCTCCAGGGAGGGGTCCCTGTGCACCACCCGGGCAATCACATGTGCTACCCTGCTTCCCCATGGCCCAACAAACAAATTTCAGATCTGAGCTTCAACTAGCAATTCTACTGATACGCGGCTTCACTGACCGACGTTTCCTTAGTAAGTGCAAGAAGTAATGCCACCCAAGTGCTGTGGCACTGCACTGAGCAGCCCCAGTTTAGCTTAAGATTGGCGTGCTGGGTGAGGTGTCATCCTGACAGCGACAGTGCTCCCAGCAGTTACCATCTCCCTCTTTTAGCTGCCAGCTTCCTGCTGCTAGAGGTGGTTTTGTTCACTTTGATCTTGTGGATAACACCCTATTTATAGCCGTAATAGAATGGCTCTCTGGAACGTCTCCATCTTCTTAACTCTGATTCTCTTTCCAATTTTTTAACAGTATGGCAATTAACTTTCCCCTTCGCATCCCTTTAGCTGACCTTCAGCTACTCTCTACTGTACTGTGGACAATTCGCCCTCTGAGATGCAGTCATCCCAAATTTCTTTCCCCTTTTGTACTTGCACAGCTCAGGAGACTTGACTCTTCTGAGGGGGTTAGTTGAATTTTTAAAAGTCCATTTACCTTGTACCGGTTCCAAGGGAGCAATTCCACCTCTGCATGAGTCTGTAATCAGGACAGGCTGCTGCTCTCTATCAGCACCAGGCAGATGAGCCAAATGTGATGGCCTTGTTCTGTCTGTTCAGCCAGCTGCATCTTGGCTTCTTAAAGCATATCTGAGCTGTTAACAGAGCAAGCAGAAAAATGACATTTCCCAAACTCTAAATGCTTGATCGTGAACAGGCATCTGCCAGATCTGATCATTCCCCCCACACTTTGGGTTCTGCTACCTCTTTGCAGTCTGAGAGTTTTTAAGCAAAGAGATTATTTATTTTTTCAGGCCACCATAAGAGAATGTAAGTACTTGTTTTCCTGCAGGCTGTGAGCTGCTGCCAGCCCCTTCGCTGCAGCCCTCTCCCCATGAGAGCAGTGTGAGTTTCACCAGCACGCTGACTCAGCAGTTCCTGTTTCCACAGCTGAAGCAAACCACAGGGGCAGGGGACAGCAGGGTGAGAGCGTGAGGTAGGCCTGCAGAATGCAGAACATTGTGCTGCTGTTGGGTGAAGGACATATCCTATGCCCCTGGAAAGTTTGCTTTCTTGTATGGTGGCGTGTGAGATGTTGCCTTTGAAGTCACCAGTAGTTTGGCACATCAGAAATGTTTGTGATAGCAGCCACTTTTAAAAGGTTGCTGTATGCAGTCTCAGCCACAATACCTTGTGTTTTTATATGCTAACTAGGGATGGATAAAGTCTAGCACAACCTCCAGGCTCCTGGGCTGTCAATTCCTCCCCACTTAATTTCGTTCCCTTCCTGAAAAATAGTTGCTGTGTGTTTTGTCCTCATTGTGAAATTGGAGCAAAGTCTCCCAGGCTTCTCTCATGAATGAGGTGTAGATACAGGCTTGTAAGAGAGCTCTGGAGCACCTTCCCCTTTCTGGAAATCAAGTCTCAGCTACAGGCAATCACACCCTGCTTTGCAAAAGATTCTCTAAAACAATCACCCTTCAGTTCCTGCTGAAGGATAAAGGACAGGCATGGCTATGGAAAACAACCAACCTGCATGGATTCATTCCCCAGATCACTCAGGGCCCTGCTGAGTTCAGCTGGCTGCAGGGGCTGCCTGCAATGCATGTGATGGAGCCGAGCAAGGTTCATGTGTTACCGCAGTGCACGCCAGGCTGACCAGCGATCAAGACTGCAAAGGAGCTCCTTGGTTATGGTAGCACTGTAATGACAGATCACTTGGTGGGCTCCGCAAAAGGGGAGGACGCTGTCCTTGCAAGGGCTGTTACTGTGTCCCTCATTCCTGTGCAGATCTTCTCCACAGCTGGCTTCTAGCAAACAAGCACATCTGAGTGAGCTCTCCTTCTATATCCCATACAAAGTCTGGAATAAACACATTGATGATATTTCTCTACTACCTAGCCAAAAGGAAGCTGTTTGCCTGCTTGTGACTTCAGAACTGTTTTCAGCTAACCAATGACCCAAATGCAGGATGCAGCATTTAGGAACCCCATGTGGATTTGTGATCCCCTTTAGAGAGCTTTAGGCCTGTGTGTCCATAAAAGCAGTAAGCGTAGAGTACCTGCAGCTTTCCCATTTGTGAGCTCCATAATTTTTGCTTGCAAACTAATCTAGGTCACGTACCTAGGGCAGAGGAGGGTAGAGGAAAAAGATAAAACCATGGGTACCTGTTTTTTAGTCTTGTAGTGCCCCAAGCATGCAATGACACAAAAACTAAGACATGACCTACATAAAAGGCTGGCAGTATTTGAAGCCTTACACCAAATGCAAATCAGCAATGATTTGGTGAGCACATCTCACCTTAATGCTGTCTTTGCACCTTGTAATCTCTTGGTCAAAAACAAAAAGCAAATTGTACGAGGTTGGCTCGGCACGCAGATCACTCTGGCTTTGACCTTGCTGGGACTTATTGCAACAGAGGAATTAAGAACAAACTCCAGTTTTTCAGGACACCTGTCCATAACATCCATGTTTTAGACAGCGGGGTTATGCAGCTGCTGAACTGAACTGCGGTCACACACGGGCTAAACAAAAACCATGAAATGCTTCCAAGATGTGAAAGGCACACAGGATGAGTAGTGGCTCCAACAGGCACCCACAGCTACACAGCTACAATCCTGCTGCCCTGCACAGTGCACCCCTAACCCTGAGCTGCTCCATCGCTTATGCTTCGTTCATTTTTTTCAAGAGTTCAGCACTACACCCAAAAACATTAACAGAAGTTTTCTTTCTAGTTCAGTCACACTTAGAAGGAATAGGAAGCAGCCTCTATCACTTGCCTGGCGAAGCCATTTCTGTGTGAGTTAATTGAG